ATAGAGGTTTAAATAGAGGGGTTTGAGTGATTAATTATCAGTATCTAACCTTATTAAAAGATATTTATTCAATGTTATCCACATTATATTTCATCTGCACAGCATTGTGAACTTTTGTAATGATAACATTTGGTCATTAACTTTTCAATGCAATTTTATGCAAATTCTAAACACCATGAGCAGAGTTCTCGCATGAAAGAGCCACGACTGACAGATCAACGTGCTAAAACATGTCTCTGAAACCATAGATATCAATGTAAAGGCTATATTTCTCACAGCGGAGTATTTATCGTCATCACCGGCGGCCATCTTGTCACACACAGGCTTTCTGGCGGGCTCTGTGGTATCTGATGTAAGAAATACTCTTATCTCGTTGAAATCTTGACGGATTTACAAACGGTTTGGTTCCTTACAAACGTTATTAACGTGGCTATAATTCTGGATAATTATTTATTTATACACTTATTATTCATAAGTATGCAGTATCATAACTACATCTCTCCTGTTTATAAACAAACCAGACCGTTTGAAAATCGGTCGAAAATTGAGCAAGTTACGGTGATTTTAAAAGTACATGCACCATCAAAACAATGTTACCAGTGAGCGAGCTGCCTTGACAAGATGGCCGCCAGGTGCTGACGTCGACCTCCATTGGCCAGCAGCACGGACGAGATATCTAGCCTTTATATAGATATCTATGTCTGAAACGCCCACACGGGTCAGAGCCGGACCAAGATGAATGCTATTGGTCAGCACTGCAAATTGGTGATGGTGTCAAAAGAATATGTCTCTACCATCTCAAGTCCTTCCAGTGAATTTTTTTGTTTTGCTGATTCCGTTGCATTTCGCATATCTCGTGCAACAGTAAATATGATGCAACAACCTGTTTGTTCTGTTCTCAGCGCTGCTCTCTAGTGGACTGGAGGATGGCTCGCCTTTGTCCGTGTTCACTTCTGAGAAGTCAGACTGCGGTGTGCTTATTTGTTCTGTATGAAAAACAACACTGTATTTGTGTGTGTGTGTGTGTGGTTGTACATTAATGTGTTTGTGTCACATGAGCTGTAATTCAAAGAGTGTGCAGCACCTGCGTTCTGTTGTTTTCTGGCTTCGTACAGGGATAGTAGATCACTGTAAGCCTCCTCACACTCCTCACTGTCAATCAAAAAGCCATTATCAGCATACCATTCACACACACACACACACACACGCTCCCAGTGCCAATCTTAGGGGCCAAAGGTCAAGGTTTACAATACCAAAAAGAGTCAGGTAAACTGTTTCAGTATCCGTTCTAGAAGCAATCGTGATATGCCAAAGGGTCTAAACCCTGATCCTGGATCAGTGGCAGTTTTTGGCTCATGCAGTGGGAGACAGAGGTGAAGACAGCAGCACACCAGTATGCGAGAGCCATGTGTAGAGCCGAGCTGTCTGCCTCCTGTCGGCTAAGACTCATGCTCAGCTGCTCTGATTCTCCTTTCCTCCTGACCAGTGCGCCATTCAGGCGCTCATTCCGAGCTTTCAGTCGCTCCAGGCACCTGCTCAAACAAAGCACACTTGTCAGAGATTCAGCAGTTCCAGCCTTTCAAACGTATACAAAGATTACGGCTTACTAAGGCCTAACTATTTGACCAACACCCTAACTCAAAGTATTAAAGGGATAGTTTACCTTGAAATACATTTTTGGCGTGTTTTAGCTTACCTCAAGGGCATCCAAGATGTTGGTGTCTTTGTTTCCACAGTATTTTCAATTTTGATATTTTTAGGTCAAACCGTTCTTGTCTGTCAGTCACATAATGGAGGTCTATGGTCACCACCTCAAAGAGCATGCACAGAGAAGTTAAAAATTAAAGTTGATTTATAGACTCATAAATGTAAGTACACATTGATGGCCAAAGGCACAAAACGGTTTGTATGAGAAAATACGAGAGTATTTATATCGTTTTTACCTCTTGTAACCACAGCCACATCCAAGTGATCTGAGGGCGCGGGCACTTTGGTCTGCGCAAGCGCCAGAAATGATCTCTTCGGAAGCAGAGAAATGATCGGAAATGATCTTTGCTTCCGAAGAGATCATTTCCTGCGCTTGCGCAGACCAAAGCGCCCGCACCCTCAGATGACGGACATGGCTGTGGTTACAAGATGTAAAAATGATAAATACTGTTCATTTTTTCACACAAACCGCTCGTTTCGTGTCTTAGGCCATCAATGTGTACTTACATTTACAAGTCATTAAATCATCTTTAATTTGGACTTCTCTGTGCATGCTCTTTGAGGTGGTGACCATAGACCTGCATTATATGACTGACAGACAAGAACGGTTTGACCTCAAAATGTAAAAATTGAAAATACTGAGGAAACAAAGACACCTACATCTTGGATGCCCTCGAGGTAAGCTAAAACACACCAAAAATTTATTTCAAAGCGAACTATCCCTTTAAGCTGGTATTCGCCAAGAAATAAAAATTCACCCTATCTCTTATCCATGCATTAAAAAAGAAAAATTGTTTGTTTTTTGACCTCGTAATTGTTCATTTAAATGTCAAAATGACTTCCATTAAACAAGGTCACATTCAGATCTTCAGATCAGGTCTTTTTCTATAATCCGTTTAACTTGGATGTACATCACACACACACAAATATAACACAAATATATATGGTGCGAATATGAATGACACCTCAAATTATTTATCTTTTACATGATTTTGGCTGGGCAGACAAGGCAAAGAAATCCTATAGTCTAACAGTAAAGGTGGGCTAGCTATATAGTGATCAGAACAACAAAGACTTGAGGGTGGACTCTTTTAAATTTTGACAGTGAGAAATTACCCTATAGCAACCATCGAGAACAGCCTAGCAACCGCATAGCCACTCAGAACACCTGACCAACCAGTCAATAACCATCCAAAATGCCCTGTTTTGCATCCTTATGTATTTATTTATTTATTTATTTATTTTGAGATCTTATTATTGGACTAATGGTCAGTGATTATCTGGGAGAGAGAGGAGGGAATGGATTCAAGAAGTGAGTACTGATGAATAAATCGATTAATCTCTCACCTCTGCAGCTTTTCTATCTCGGCCTGAAGCACAGAATCAACGGTGCAGGGAGATGAAGGGGAGTCCGGCCTGGAGCCAGGCAGTTTGCGGGACAGCAGAGGGGATCCAGGATATGGAGGAGAGGAAAAGGAAGGGCTCGAAGTTCGACTAGAGGACAATGATGGACTAACAGGAGGAGAACGACTCACTCCGTACAGCCACTTCCTCTTCAGGTCCACTAACTGCCAAAAGATGAGTTCAACAACAGTGAAAGTTAGAAAATTTAAAAATACCTAATGAGCATTTATTATTTCATCAAATGTCTTACTTGAAGACTTTTTAACTTATTTAAAATGTTTCAGTGGCATATGAACTATTAATATTGAAATATATTTTAATATAATTATATACGCAATCATATTCTAGTATACTTTTAAAATATTCACTATATCTAATGTGACCAGCTCTAATATGTAAAAATTGGGAATTTCCCAATCAACCTTTTCCATCAGCCACTTTTTCTCGTCCTCAAGATCAATCAACAAACTTTCGGCTTCTATAAGCTCTTCCTGATGGCTCTTCAAAGAGGTGTTGAGGTCTTGGTTGTGTTTGTACAGTGAGAGAACATCCCGCTGATACTGACGTCTCTCATCAGGGGGAAGAGCAGAGGGGTATGAGATCCCCAAATCGCTCTCCATCTCCTCCAGCACCTGGATCAGATTACAGAGATCAGAGCCTGAGGGAGTTCAGACGCAGTCGAGTGCATGCATGCTACTGCGAGAGGCTGGATGAGCACCTGTGTGGCCTTCACCCAGCTCTCCCGGGCTGCAGAGAGATGGTGTGCTTGAACTATCTCCGAATTCTGCGTTTGAAGCCTGAGCATCTTCCTCCCATGACCGCTAGAGGTCTCGAGAGCAGAGAGGACCTTCTGTAGATCGTTCCAAAGATCACTGCTGCCCCCTGCGGAAAAACACATTTAGGGTTTTTTTCTTTTTATGTACATTTCCAAATTATGCTATATTAAAATTATTCAGACAATTAACTTTCAAAAAATACTAAAAAAGTAAAGAAAAATAAAATGTGGCAAAACATCACTAATAATGTTGAAATGTATTATAGTTAATAACAATAATATTCTCAATTTATAATATTCAGTATTTTTGATTATTTAATTATTAAAAAATTAAATTACTTTATTCTTTAGAAAGTTATTATTATGCAATTTTAGTATGTATACAAATATTATATTACAATTATATAAATATGAATACAATAGCATGTTTTTTATTATTAGTGTTATTTTATTTTGTGAGGTTTTTTTTGTAAGAACGAATATGGATGAAGTTGGGAGGAAACATTCAGCAAATAATGTTGAATAATGTTCGAAATGAATGTAATAACTTGTATTATTAATTATTATTATAATTCTTTATAATAATACACCTAGTTTTTCTCCCAATCCATCCATTTCATTCTTACAAAAAAATCTAAAGAAAATGTTGCAAAACATCACTATTTTTAACATCAAATTCCTAGATTTTTTATGAACAATGTTTTTATTCAAATTAGTATAATTAAACATTAGTTGCTTGCACTCCATTATAAACACAATTCATAAATTCAGTGATTTTTAGTTTATTTTTCCTTTGAAAAAAAATTTATAAAAGTCTTGATTTAGAAAAACATACTTGCATGTGTATAGGAAATGTTGAAGTTAAAGTTTAATAAGTGGTTCTGCATATGGAAACAAAAGTCTGGCAGGACCAATAGTCTGGTAAATAGCAGGCTGTCCGTTCTGACACAGCATTTACTGTGATGGACGATGAGGCATTGCATAAACAGAACGTGCCTTCTGAGTCCCTGCAGATGTTCTTGGTCTTGGTCTCCACAGATACTTTGCCAGCGTCCGCCGCTGTGAGGCTGCAGGCTGAAGATCTCAAGCCCTGCTGCGGGACGCACCCATCGACACACACGTGACCCTCAGGAGGTTTCATCTCTCTGAGAACACAGACCCTTTCACATACTGTACATGTTAGAGCAAAACTACATCGTTTGCAATTGATTGAGACGGGCATTACCGTGGTATTTGTAGGCAGTCCATCTTCCTGTTGAGCTCAGAAATGATCTGCAGTAAAGTGCTCACCTCCGTCTCACACTGTGCCAGCTCGGAGTCCGCTGACTCCAGACTGTCCGATCTCTGCTGGAACGTATCGCTTGTGTAAAATAATGTGCAAAACCAGTCTTTACTTACTTCAGATATATTGAGCTAAGTTGGGTTAGGTGGAATGACACATATCAACTGGAGATGGTCCTCACTGTAGAACACAAAATTTAGATCTGGATCCAACTCCTCCCACCTTACATATACCTAAACCTGCCAATCTCCGCCCCCTGATCCCTAACCGCACCCCTAATCCTACCCATCCCAGCCCCCTGATCCCTAATCCCACCCCTAATCCTACCCATCTCAGCCCCCGATCCCGAACCCTAACCCTAATCGAACCTATCTCCGCCCCCTGATCCCTAACCCCACACCCTGATACAACCCATCTCTATCCCTTAGATCTGGATCCAACTCCGCCCCTTGATCCCTAACCCCACCCCTAATCATACCCATCTTCGCCCCCTGATCCCTAACCTCACCCTTAATCCTACCCATCTCTCCCCGATCCCTTAACCCCACCCCCTGATCCCAAATCCTACCCATCTCTACCCCTTTGATCTGGTTTCAACTCTGCCTCTTGATCGCTAACCCCACCCCTAATCATACCCATCTTCGCCCCCTGATCCCTAACCCCACCCCTAATCATACCCATTTCCGCCCCTGATCCCTAACCCCACCCCTAATCCTACACATCTCTGCCCCCTGATCCCCAACCCCACCCCTAATCCTACCCATCTCTGCCCCCTGATTGCTAACCCCACCCCTAATCCTACCCATCTCTGCCCCCTGATCCCTAACCCCACCCCTAATACTACCCATCTCTGCCCCCTGATTGCTAACCCCACCCCTAATCCTACCCATCTCTGCCCCCTTATCCCTAACCCCACCCCTAATCCTACCCATCTCTGCCCCCTGATCCCTAACCCCACCCCTAATCCTACCCATCTCTGCCCCCTTATCCCTAACCCCACCCCTAATCCTACCCATCTCTGCCCCCTTATCCCTAATCCTACCCATCTCTGCCTCCTTATCGCTAACCCCACCCCCTGATCCCTAACCCCACCCCTAATCCTACCCATTTCTGCCCCCTGATCCCTAACCCCACCCCCTGATCACTAACCCCACCCCTAATCCTACCCATCTCTGCCCCTTATCATCAACCCCACCCCCTGATCCCTAACCCCACCCCTAATCCTACCCATCTCCACCCCTTAGATCTGGATCCAACTCCGCCTCCTGATCTCGTGTACTTCAATGGGGTGCTACTGATCAACTGGCCTAAAATAAGTATTTAAACACTTTCATTCAATATAATCCAAGTAGCATCTGCAAACAAAGGATGCTAGAGCTCAGAACTAAATTCAATGACATTTAAATTTAGCTGTTGCTTTCATCCAAAGCGACTTACAATTGCTATATATGTCAGAGGTTGCAACTAGGGGTTAAGTGTCTTGCTCAGAGACACATTGGTGTCTCATAGTGGATTCGAACCCGGGTCTCTCACACCAAAGGCATGTATCTCATCCACCGTGCCATCACCACCCCATTAAATGACAGAAATGTCATTCAATGACATTCATTGACTATTGTATCACAGGCGTAGTTCAATTCACTCTGAATGTTCCACTAACATGACAACCATGAGTCCGAATAGTTTCATTTGGAGCATATATCTACATTGTTCTATAATGTAGATTTTTTTTTCTTTGTACAATCAAAACAAACTGTTGAAGATGCCTATAAAACAATATGGGTGTTGATGTTTTCTGCACTCTTTTGTTCTGAGGGGAGGAGGAGGAAACAGGCATCCTGTAACTGCACTTCCTACAGCCGCATTGTGGAGCTTACTGTGAAAAAGTAGCTCTCAAACTGTTGTTCTCAGTATTCAGATATAAATATCATTTGGTTTCAGGACCTCTTTTGCTGTAAATGTTTCTTCCAGTGAATTGAGTTTGGTTTGAAACTGGTGACTATTCTAAATTCCCTTGGCTTGACATTTCATCATTTAAACCGTTATTAAAATATGATCATTACTAAAAATAAATACTGTTTTTTACAAGGTTGCATTAACATGTTATTAAAAACAAAAACTATTTTTCTGCTTTTTGGATCAGACTGAGAGTACATCCCAGAAACTCACCTGTGTCATTTGTCTGATCTTGGTTGAGGTCCTGTCCTGAATGAAAGAGTGGTCCAGTGCTGTCTCTGTGTCTTCTGCTCGCTGAGCTTCAGAAGCTTGTGTGAAGTGTGTATGCCGTGAGCTTCAGCACATCCTGATCAAACACGCTTCTTCTCCACATTACTGGGCTAAACCTGCTCTCTGCTCCACACATCTCTTCTCTTCATTGTCGTCTCCACCCACTGTCTTTTTAGATCTTTTCCTGTTGGGTTTATTTTTTGACTCTTTCTCTAGGCTATAGAAGATTTTTTTTTGATAAATCTTATTGTTTATAAATAAAGTATTTTAGACTACAGTTTTGTATTGATTACTACAGTAGCCTACTACAGTGCTAATATTTGGTAACATGGTTTTAATGAAAATGGAAGACTAAACAATTCTGTATGCTAAGCCTACAGGAGAAGCTGTAATTAGATTATTCAGGATAAACAATCACAGTTCAGGGATTATCATTCAAATAGAGAATCTGAAGCTTCAACTGTCTATTAATTGTTTCTATAAGATTTGTAACATGATAAATTATAGGAGTTGTTTTGTAATTCAGACATTCAGGTTATCCAAACTGACATTTTATGTAGCCTACCTACGTGGTCAAGAGGTGGTAAAACTTTACTTTAAAATGTTAGGCTATTAATTGTTCACAGAGCATTAACCATTGCAAACAGATACAACTTTTGATCTTAAAAATGTAGTATTAAATGCTACATTAACTCGGTAGAAATAGGCTATGTCCATGTTAACTAATGCAGAGGGTTAAACTAATGTAAATACATTTTTTGTTTATTATGAAGTGTTATCAGCCGATGCTTTTTTCTCTGTTTATTGTTTTCTCTGACTTGATTTCTATTTAGTTTAGTAGGCTGGTGATGATGGAGAAAAAGAGTCGTAGCTGCAAAATCGCAGGCACAGCGCGAGGCGTTTTTTACCGGTCGTTGAACGTCACTTTTTAATCCAGCCGTCCAATCAAAGTGGAGGAGGGGCGAGACAAACACCGCACCGACCAATCAATCTTCACATTCTACGTGTGCAACGAAACGACAACAACAAAACTCTTCATCCAAAATTGACGTCAGAGCAAGTACGTTACATTGTATAAAAAAATTTTATTTTCATAAACAAACTATTTGCGAAATAAGGTATTCCGCATATCATAGCACATAATAGTGTCTCAACTAAAAGAAAAACGCAACGGAGAGAATACTTTTTCTTTTCAGAAGCTGGGCTTGCATCGTTCTTCCAGTCCGCTAGAGGCGTCAAAGAACAGAAACACCCTTCAGAACTCGCCTCTGAAAGTCAACGACACAGAAGGGAACGAGGAAGTGTTGCAGAATATTTATTTCTCTACTAAACTCATATTTTCATCTATTGTATGTTCGGTAAGTTATTGTTTTACGTTATTTAGCTATTGTACTTGTGCTGCCTGTTAACTTTACATGTCTCTTATGTTTATTAAATTACGGTTTTTGCTTTATTCAAACAAATATTTAAAAACGTACCTTTAAAAAGCTAATTTAGGTTTAGATTTTAAGATAAGTCTTATTAGAATACGAATTTAATACTAATCATACACTGTTCCTTCGTTGGCCAGAGAAGAACTGGCCCCAGACTTAGGCTGGTTTCTCCCAAGGTTTTTTTTCTCCATTCTGTCCCTGATGGAGTTTTGGTTTCTTGCCACTGTTTCCTTTTCTTTTGGCTTGCTTAGTTGGGCATATTTAATATTCAACAATATATTGATCTGCCTTACTTAAGGTGGACGTTGACGCAATTTTCTTCTAGAAACAAACTTGTTTGTTTTGTATTATTATCATGTTATTACTGTCAATCACTTTTATTGAAATCATCAGAGAACTGTTTGGGTTTTCTTAACCCTTATTCTTTTAAATGTTAAAAATAATTGTATTACAGTAAAAAAAGATACAATATTTTAGTATATGTTTGGTTTATGTATATATATGTATATATAAATATATATATATATTTTTTTTTACTGTTGTTTACTGTCTATGGGTTGGTGTCAGGTGGTTGCGATGGAAACCCCTGAGCCCGGACAGGCAGATGGAGAGGAGCGTATGATGGACCTGAGACCCAGGACCCGGTCCAATCCAGAGGGTGCTGAGGACCGGCGCAGCAGCACTGGAAGTCTGAACAACAGCAGCCTGGCCTCCCCCCCGCAGCCGGCCGTGGGCAGCCGTGTAGAGGGTGAGGGAGAGGCGGCCAGCTCCGATAGCCCACCAATATCTGCCACCACCATCCCAGCCGCTGCCCCTGCCACTGCCCCTGCCCCTGCCCCTGTAGCGGCGGCAGGAATCAGCACAGTCAGTATGCCTACGCTGGCTTCTGCAGTGAAGGAAAGGCCTAAACCCCCTCAGCCGTCCATGGCCGCCCAGATCCCACCATCAGCAGAGTTACACCTGCGGGCACCACGGGTCAACTGCCCCGAGAAAGTCGTACGTGTGGCAATAAACAAAACTTCACATTATTTGGTGCATCTGAAAACACTTTTGTCATTCAATTATATCTTTCTTAAACAGATCATCTGTTTGGACCTTTCAGAGGAGATGTCTCTACCAAAACTGGAGTCCTTCAATGGGTAATTTCATATCTATTTTTTATTTTTATTTATTGTTATTATTAAATTATTTTCCTTGATATACACTACCGTACAAAAGTTTTAGATCAGTAAGATTTTATCATGTTTTCAAAAGCAGTCTCTTCTGCTCACTAATGCTGCATTTATTTGATCCAAAATACAGTAAAAACTCTAATATTGTGAAATATTTGTTTACAATTTTAAATAATTTCGATTCTATTTGAAAATGGAATTTATTCCTGTGATCAAAGCTGAATTTTCAGCATCGTTACTCCAGTCTTCAGTGTCACATGATCCTTTAGAAATAATTCCAATGCTGATTTGCTGGACAAGAAACATTTATTATTATTCAAGAAATTATTCTGTGTTTATTTTTTTTTTTCTGGATTCTTTGATGAACAGAAAGTTAAAAAGAACAGCATTTATCTGAAATGGAAAGCTTTTGTATCATTATACACTACTGTTCAGAAGTTAGGGGTCAGTGAGAAATAAATTAATTAATACTTTTATTCAACAAAAATGCATTCAATTGATTTACAAAAGTTACATTAAAGACATTTATAATGTAAATGCTGTCCTTCTGAACTTTATTTTCAACATTGATAATAATAAGAATATTTCTTGAGCATCAAATCATCATATTAGAATGATTTCTGAAGGATCATGTGACACTGAAGACTTGAGTAATGATGCTGAAAATTTAGCTTTAATCACAGGAATAAGTTACAATTTGAAATGTATTCAAATAGGATATATTATTACTTTAAAAATTATATATACTTCACAATATTACTGTTTTTGCTGTATTTGGATCAAATAAATGCAGCCTTGGTGAGCAGAAGAGACTTCTTTTTAAAAAATGAGAAAATCTTATCGATCTAAATCTTTTGAACGGCATTATATTCTATTTGAAATTACAAATATATATTTCTATAAATGTATTGCATTATGTAAATGATTTGCATTTCCAGATCCAAGACAAACGCCTTAAATATTTCACAGAAAATGATTGAGATGTTTGTGAGAACCAAGCACAAGATTGACAAAAGGCATGAGTTTGCTCTGGTGGTGGTGAACGATGATGCCATGTGGGTGAGTGGACTAACCCACAGCTTCAACTACACTGTCATTTGGACAATCAAACATGTCTGCCGCTGAATTAGACTGTCTTTGGATAGTTCACAAACTTCTAAACACAAAATTCTAGGTCTGTTAATTTAATCACAAATATTTAACTTACATTAAAAGAATAAAATTCTTTCGAATCACTTCTTTATTTCATAGAAAATGCTTTGTCATTTAAGTAATAATTATATAATATTATTGTATTTATTATATAGCTTTTAATTGTATTATTTGGTTTTGTTTATTCATTTTGTTATGTGCTTTTGACATTTGTATTAGTTTTATATTTCTATATAGATTTAATAAGTTTTATTTCAGTTTTAATATTGTACTATTTATTTGAATTTGTCTAAGTTTCCATTTCATCTAATATTTACATTTTATTTTATTTAAGCTTTTTTCAGTTACGAAAACTATTCAAACTATACGAAAGAGTTTTAGGTAAAAAATTACAATAGTTATTGACATTTATCTTTTAATTTACAGTTATCGGGCTTCACCTCTGACCCGCGAGAGCTGTGCAGCTGTCTGTACGACCTGGACACCAACGTCTGCGAGTCCTTCAGTATCCTTATTTTTACAGTTTGGCCCATTTTTATGTGCTTTTGGAATCGAGTCGGTCCAGAATCCAGATAAACATTGAAAACAATGAAAATGAATCATGATCATAATAATTTCTTTAACTGTTACTTGTAGATCTGGAAGATTTCCTCAATGTCATGTAAGTAGTTTTTGTCTTCTGTTTTTGATCGTTTGCTTTATATGATTTGAATCTGTTGAATTTCTTTCTCTTGTAGTTTGCAGAAAATCGAACTTCCTCAGATGGAGAACATCCAGACCATCCCGCCTCCTTTTGTAGTTCGGACTCTCCTCATCTTCAGTCGGCCTTCTGGCATGCTTCAGTTCAATCCTCCTGATGCTGTCAAAGTAAGTCTGTTTCACCCATGTTACTGTACAATCATGGCACAATGACAAGAAGGTCTGGATCTATTTATTTAAAAAAAGTTCACACTTACAGTGACTTGACTGCACCCATTTATTTTAAAGATTCTTGTTTTCGTATTTCTGAATTAAAATAAATTTTTATAGTTTTGGGTGGCATTAAAAATCCAAAATGATCAGGGTTAGTACATTTGATTCAATATCAGAAAAAGGCCAAGGGTGATTCTTGAAACCTAATCATTAAGGTGTATTGTATAACTATATTATAGACCATTTTGCAAGATGTAAACAACACTGGTCCAGAAGCACTTCCTGTTTCATTTTTCTATCACTACACAAAAGCTGGGATAAAATAAAACCAACAGAACATTTAAAACTGAATCAAAAAGTTAAACAACATCTTTAAGATGTTTTCTTTACATGTGAAATAAAGAAAACAAACTTACAAAACTGAAACAGGAAGTGAACGCAAGCAGCGTTCTGTTGGTCAGCACAGTGAATCCCATTGAAATCATTGCGAAATTGGTGCAATATTCCAGATCATTTGGATTTAATGGTCAAATTGCAAAATTACACACTAAATAAAGTTGAAAATGTAAAAAAAGCATAATAGGACCCCTTTAAAGAACTTTTGTCCACCAAATCTAAGTCATGTGTTGCAACCAACATGCAAAAATATGCAGTAAAAAAGAAAACAGGAAGTGTATTATAGAGAGCTGCCCTGAAGTTGATTAAAGAGCCCCTATCATAGCATTTGAAATGTTCCTATTTTTGTTTTAGGAGTTCCCAAAAACAGTTTAACACGCATGCAAGGATAAAAAAACACTTTATTTGTCTTATAATATGCATTTATTTTTAACTGATTTGCTCACCGACTCCCAAATGATTCGTACGACTCATTTTTCCAAACCGCTCCTTTGCGTGACGCTAATCGGCGGTGATTGGTCAGATGACAGACCCAGTCAGTTATTGTTTGTTAGCATAGCGCATAAACATATTGATAAAGCACTGCAGTACTACAAGACGCTCTATTCTTTATGACAACTCCAATAACAGCGACAAACATTTCACATATTTAAAAAAAATTGACATTGGAGACCTAGAAACTGCGCTGAGCATAACTTACACGCGCACACACATACTTATTGCGCCTTCCCTCCTCGCGCCCGACACTACAAAACCGTTCAAAACCCATAAAAGCAGCAATTATTAATAATACTTACAGGTTGTGATTCATAGGAGGAAGCTGATCCATATACACTGGGTAAGTAAGTTACTGAGCCCTCCTTCAGGAACAACCGCTTGCGAATCCACATTTGAATCATTTATGTTTTTGAACGATTCGTCATTAAAATGATGAGAACACAATCGGGCTATACTGTTGTGGTATCGTTGCACATATGAACTCTAACCACCGATTCTTCACATGCTCATCCCTGGTAAATGAAAACAAAGTGGCTGAACTATCTTTGCATTGTAGAACACAGCGACATGATGCTATGATGAAGTATTTGTATGTGTACTTCAAGTTTACACTTCCGTCTGCGCGCGCAGTAACTGGGCGCGGCCAATGACCTCTCTACGTCACGATGTAACAGCTAATGACTCGTTCCAAAAACAATTCATTTCATAGACTCAGAGTCGACTCTCACTTTTGAAATAACTTTATATACGGTGCACTTTCAGATATAAATCTTTGCAGGATGTTTTCATTCCCTTAGAGCTATATTCCACACCATATGAACAGTCATTTTCAAGTTAATTATTATTTTTAGAAATAATAATTAAGATGTGTACACCCACATGTATTGTAAGGAATATTCCCTTAAAGGACAGCTCCAGCGCAAAATGAACCTTTGGTCTAATAACACATTGTCACCTAGTCAATCGTTCACTGAGATTTGTTTTCATGATAATCGAATGTAAAGAGTTTAATCTCTAAAAACTGTTTAGCGTATAACGCTAGTAATGGGGGCATATAATAAGTCAAGAGAAATCGCTAGTTTATACCACTAACAAGGCTCAAAATAGCCCCACACTAACACAGTAACATAATGAGGGTCCCTGCATGCAAAACGAAGCATTGAGAACTTTGTGTACAGACCGTTTAATAAGAAGATACTTTATAAAGACAGTTCACTTCATGTATACAGGCAGGAGCCATCTTTGGAAAACAGTCTCGACAAGTTGAACCACGAACAACGTGCCAAGTGAGCTGAACTGGATAAAGTTCAGTGAACTTCTGAATGGCGTTCGTGGGTTTTCAATGCATCATTTTGCATGTAGGGACCCTCATTATGTTACTGTGTTAGTGTGGGGCTATTTTGAGCCTTGTTAGTGGTATTAACTAGTGATTTCTCTTTACCTATTTTATTAAAAGCTCTATACGCTTTTTAGAGATAAAACTCTATACATTCGATTATCATGAAAACAAATCTCAGAGAACGGTCGACTAGGTACCAATGTGTTAACCTTTAATGGTTACACCGTATGGCATTTTTAGAGTTGTTGAATTTAAACATTTAGTAAATGGTATGTTTCTCAAAACCATATGACATCAACATTTCAGGTACTACATTAGATTTTTAAAATACTCTTTATCTTACAACTTTAATCTAAATGAATCATCAAAAGAGCAGTTCTGTATGTCTCTAATATTTTCTCTTTCCAGAAAATGCTGCAGTCTCCATATTTCTTCTTTGATGTTGTGTATCTTCATAATGGAACTGAAGAACCGACTGAGGACGCGAGCTGGAAGGTTTGAGCCTTCCACCAACTCAAATCATTATTTGCCTGTTTGTTTACGTTTTGATTTTTACTCGAGGTACTGAACCTTTGTGGCTGTATTTTCAGGACGTGTACACCACCTTCAGTGAGTTGGACTCTAAGGGCATGTGCTATCAGTTTGAGGTGTCACTGTGTGGTCCTGCTATTGAGCTGCACAACTGCATGGCCAAACTGCTGTGCCACCCGCTGCAGAGACCCTTCCAGAGCCACGCGTCCTACAGTCTGCTGGAGGAGGACGACACGCAGGAGAATGAAGCCACAGTGTGAGCTTTTCCTCAATATACCCCTGCAAATCTAGAGACTGATGAACTCCAAAATGAAGGAGTGACTGTGAATATCTGCAAATATATGGCCTTGTCCACTTTTCTGTTCTGGGAATGTCTCTTTTATTATCTTTGAAAACATCTGTGACTTAATTTAATAAAGCAGCCATAACCACACAAGCTCAAGAGCCTATTGTGAAACAGTCAAGTATTGATGGTTTGATCTTTGCACAAGGCTAACCAGCTCATTTTGAGAATGTCAACTGTATATGTTCTGGTTTCTAAAGTGAAAGTTATTTAACATCCATTTTTTCTGTGGTGGAGATTCCCAGATGAGTTCACGTGATGGGTTATAATGGTTTGGTGAGGGTTCATCTGGACAGCATCTAATAAATACTGTTTGCTTGCTCCTGTCAAATAAATTAAATCTAAATGCTCTGGGTTGGAGAGCTTCCTTATACTATAGAGTCCACAAAAACATGGTTGATGAAAAACGGTACATTGTTGACTCATTTTTTGTAAAAGACAATGGAATAAGTCATTTGAACTGCATTTTACTTCAGACATATGTTTTAGTTTAATTCTTTAGTTGATGAGGTTTGACTTTAGCCATCATAATTTGATTAGATAGTGAAAAGCATTCTATGATATTATTATCAATAAATTGTATTAACTGAATCCCTCATAAACTACATTTAATTGTTTATTATGTACTAAATGTATATCCTGGCAATAAAGTTCTGAAAAGAGCCAGTGAATTTTACATTTTGAGCCTTTAGAACAAGGGACATTAGTAATAGTTTGGATATGTCAGCGACATGTATTTAAAAGTAGGGGCAATTTGGTTTTCTTGTTCTGAAGACTGAGTCTTCAGAACAAGAAAACCAAAAAAAAAAAAAAAAAAAAAACACTTTGAAAACTTTTATTAAAGAATGAAATAAATGAAAGCAGCAATACAATTGGGTGGCCACAAGAGGTCGAAAGAGTACAGCCGAACAACAGAAAACTGACTTCATAATAAATATTGAATTACTTTGTTTAATTTACCCTTGGGATTATTAATTGGAATTGTATGTGGTTTCTTTAGAAATAGCTTTGTTTTGATTCTTTGACCACACAAATGTTGTATCCTGCTATTGAGCAGCACTAATAAGGTGCACTCTGCACAGATAATAGTCGGAAGAGTGTTCAGGTCACATTTTTTTTTCTGGTATTGTGTTAATAATCGTTGACCTCTTTCACTTTGCAACCTCCTAAATTCTAAGTATTTTGTTCAAAGCTGTAAACAAAGATGGAGGAAAACCTCGATCAAGATGCTGAATTCTTAGAAAGGGTCTTTAAACGCATGCCAACACTTTTTTTTTAATGGCCATAGAAATGATGCCATAGCAGAATGTTTTAACTTTTTAATCATCTAAGAAACCTATTGTCCACTATTAAGAATCTTTTGGGGAATGTAAAGTTTCCATAAATGTTCGTCATGGAACAACACGTGGCAATAAATAACCTTTTTTATTTTATGTACGTGTACTCGCGGATACTCAGAGTGCATTATTCCTTTTTCTTGTTCACCTAATATTTACCTCCAGGGGGAGTAATAACGCACTCGGAGAGTATTCGTGTCCAGAGGTTGTTGTTAAAAAAGCTGTATAGCACACACTAGCCTATAATCCTCACCTTTTCAGAATTTTACATTTTGGGTTTACTCATTATTTGATAGCACCAAACAAATTGTTGGAGTAATGAATAGCTCTGAATAGTCCTCGCTCTGATATCCTTTAATAATCTCCACAGCTCATCTGTCTTTATTTTCAAATGTTATCAGTGTTCATCTGTCTTTTGCAGATTCAGCTTCCTGTTTTTGTCTTAAAGCTCACCTGCAATCTGTAAGGGATTTTGTGAGAACTTTTAATCAGTTTTATTCACCCTCTGTAAATGACTTTCCGTTGAGGATGGATTGGCAAAGAGACAATGGACTGCAGGAAAACCCCTGACTTACTTTATGTTCCCTCTTCACACTCTCCCAGACACGGCTGTCAGCTGCGAGCGTCATCGCTAGCCCGGGATCAAACGTGCTGCCGCCTCCTGGGCTTCTGGGAGAGTTTGTTATTCATTCCTGCGAGGAGGATGACGGGTCACCATTGTTGTCCCTCCGACTCCACCGATAGTCTCTGTGGCTCTGCAGGAAACCATTTCGGATGGGTTGTTTTGATCATGCGTGTTTATGTATCTGATCTGATCCAGGAAGAGATGGAAGGACCTGCTTTTGTCCTTTGGAGGAATATTGTTTTTCTTGGCCAAAGTGGGCGATTCCAAAATGATATCTGATATAAAATTCGTTAACCCGTTATTAAATATTGAGAAATAACAATGTGGACGCCAAGAACATCTAATCCCAAATCCCACAGTGACATTGTGAAATAAGTGTTGTAGATAAGTCTGATTGTGGTCTGCATTGCTTGTCAGGGTTGGGTGTGATTTATGAGGGAAAGTAAGGGAGGAGCTCTGGTTTATTTCTCTCTGGAGATCTCCGTAGGTTCAGCGTGAAGATCCGATAACCTCTGGAGCTTTCCTGTGGAGGCCCGGAAAGAGTTACGGCGCGGGAAGTGTCTCTGCATTTATAAACACAGCTACCGCCCCTTGTCCTGCTAGAAGTGTTTACATGTCTTCGCCCACGAGTGTGACAGCACTGCAGCGTATTTTGGTAACCTTTTAACCATTGCTTTTTCAAAACAAACCACCAGAATCCCAGTCGTCAGAAGGTTCATCTCTTTCCCACCACTGGACCGCAGAAATGTACAACAACAGCTACGCCCGCGCCACATTCGGGCTGGAGGCGAAACAAATCCACAAGGCGAAGGGGAAAAGCTGCGGCTACTACATGAGAATCATGTTCTTCTTCTCGTCTCTGATCCAGTCTCTCATCATCGCCAGTCTGGTGCTCTTCCTAGTGTACGGCCAGCCGGAGAAGACCGCCGATGAGAAGAGAGTAGAAGAGCTGGAGCAGGCCTTTAACAAGCTCTCCGCAGACAACAACAAACTCCGAAAAGAGAAAGCTGACCTCGCCGGTGCCCTCAAAGCAAAGACTGGAGAGAAGGATGCGGCAGACAAAGAGATAGCAAAGCTGAAAAATGACTTAAACACGACGAGTTTCAATGGCAAAAACTTGCAGAAGTCTCTTGTAAGTCCTTTATTTGCTTGTAGCTGAGTGAAAATCCTCATGTCTTTCCAAAGCTGTATGACTTGACAAAAGTTGACAAAAAAATGAAGAATGTTTCCAATGTTTATAGCTGGTCTTACATTGGATTCTATTGACTTTCAATGAATGGGCCAAAAAACAGACATTCTTCTATATGATTCCATTTGTGTTCCACAGAAGTAAGTCATACAGGGTTGGAACGATATGAGTGTGAGTAATTGAGGAGCGAAGTTCCATTTTTTTGTGTGAACTACCCCTTTGATTCCAAGATACTATGAGGTTAATCTTCTGTTATTACCTTTAAATTCATTGATTTCACCTGCCCTTTCACACCCTTGGTACATTAATCTTGTAATCCTAACCCTAACATTGGTTGTTTTACAGTCCCTTTGTGAAGTCAATAAAATGAGGCTTTCAAGCACTCGAAATACTCCTCTACCATGTCCACCGGTCAACAACAATCTGAATGGTGAGTGCAATAACTTATCAATGAGTATTCAAATTCATAAATGGACTGTCCTGTAGACGTGCCTCTCTTTTCTCTGGACAGGTGAAGTAAAAACACTGAATACTCTTCTGGATCAGCAGAAAGTTATGTATGGTATCCTTAAGAGCAACTTCACCCAGACAGTGGCGTACCTCAAAGCTGACTTGGACAATGCAGTGAAGGATAAAAACCAACATCATACTCAGGTGATACAACTGAGACAGGAAAACGTCAACTTGAAATCCCAGCTTGATATTTACACCAAGAAATGCAAAGAAGACTTTGCAGAGTCCCTCATAGGCATCCAGACCGTCACAAGTGCCTTCCTGACCAAAATCGACAACTTCTTCACCAACTCGGTCACGTTTCACCTCACCTGCCAGAAACAGGAAGAACAGATGGACAGGATTCGCTCCAACTGTTCTAGCCTTTCTCGGCAGGTGGAGGACAAGTTCCAGAGCTACCTGAACGCTGTGGGAGCGAAGGTCTCGAGCATTCAAAAACAGAGCAGCTTGTTGGAAGTACAGAATGCGGATCTGACTTCAGAACTGGACAAGTGTAAAACAGGTCGAGAGAAAGAGTCTGCAGAGAGCAGCAAAAAACTGCAAGACGCCCAACAGGCATATGACAGACAATTGGAGCAGCTTCTCAAGGAGCAAACCAGACTGAGGGATGACAAGAAACTGGTAGACACCCAGCTCGCCGTGAAAGACGCCACCCTCATATCTCTGCAAAATGGCTGCGCACAACAGGTAGGAGTTATGTTGGGGTGAATAACAATGCCTAAAATATCAAGAAAATTGCGAGTGTACCATGATTAACTCAATCTTCACTGCTTCTGCAGTCCAAACTTGCTGGTCCTCAACCCCTCGGAAAGGCTGGCCTGCAACCCCTCCCACCTGGTAGGAGCAATTAACCACTAAAGGTAAGTGGTCTTCATCCATTATGGGCAGAATTTTATTAGAAAGTCAGTAGTCACTTGGCCCCAACCCACTCCAATCCTGCTCCTGGAGGAACCAACCTGCCAAAACACTCTAGAGTTAGAGCTAAAAGTGGATTACGTCACTGTCACTTTATTTTGAATCGGGATGTTACCAAAGACAGATTTATCAATGACCTGCCTTTAAGTTTCTAGTGATCCTTAAGACCTTGTTTAGCAGGTTCAGGTCTACTGGACCCTACTGGAAAGTGGCCACCCAGGAGCAGGACAGGACACCTCTGAGCTACTGAGATGGTTGTGGCAAATAAAACGTGTGCTAAATACAGCCTTGTCTCTATAGGGCTGTTTACACCTGGCCACTTCATGCGTTTTCTGGGATTGGATAGCAATCCGATCGTGAAAAGACCAGGTGTAAATGTCCTCTGAAACGCATTCGAGACGGATTTGAATCCGATCGGCAATCGCTCAAACCACTTTAGGAGGTGGTCTGGGCCGCATTCCAGACGAAACCGGGCAAGTGTAAATGCATCTGGTTGTTGAAACCACATATGTAAATTTTACTCCTCCCAAAAAAAAAACTTGTGAGAGCGTGTTATAGGCTAAATGTCATGTTATAGTCAGATATGACGACTCTACTGCAACACGTAACACCTCTGATGAGCAGCTGAGTGTCTATTCATCAAGCCAACACGCAAACTATCGCAAATCAAAGTGGCGCTTAACACACAATCATCTTCATTAAAAGTTAAGAAACTAAATGATCTTACCAGTTCTGTTAGCGCTCTCTATTTGGTTTTGAAATTAGATGATCAATAAAATGCAGCAATGTCTAAATATAATGCAAAGATAATCATATATGTTGCTTTCAGTGACTTGCACTCCATTAAATCTGCAGTGGGAATTGAAGATCGGATTCATATCCGTTTTGCAAAAACACCAGCTTTTTTGATAAATCAGATAGCTATCCGATCTGAGAGAACGCATGAAGTGGACACAGCCCCTATGTGAGGCAATTTGTTAAAGCAGCATTAAAATGTTCAAATATGGGGAATATTTTCGTCCAATTGTCTCTTAGTGTACATGGTCACAATTTAGGATTTCTAAATGATAAAATTACCCCACAATTAACTGCAAAACAAAATGCATTTTAAAATTTGCCCAGGACCTCCAGAGCTCAGAGGAACATGTTACTGATCGTTGTTAACATTTAAAACAAAACATACAGTACTTTGTGAAGTACTACAGTATATTACAAGTCACATACTGGCATATGGTCTGAAAGTATAAAATATTACGCTATATAAAGTAATATTAAAAATCTTTTCAGGTTTAGATTTTGAAGAACTAGTGTTGATGACTCAGGCAGTCATTCAGAATGTTTTATTGAACTGTTTTCCCTTTTTTCCGTAGGTTGGGTGTGGAGAAAGGAATGATCTGAATCTCAAGGACGGACTCTGAGTTTTTGAGTGTGGGGGTTTCCTGATTTTTAGCATATGATGTCTCTTGTAAATAATGTTGTCACCTTGGATCACTGTAAATGTACATGCACTCATTGAATGTTTAGTTCACTGTATAGTTGTATTTAAGCGTTATGGGGTGTGAACTTAACATGGCATTAAAGGGATACTCCACTTTTTTTTTGAAATAGGCTCATTTTACAACTCCCTCAGAGTTAAACAGTCGAGTTTTACTGTTTTCGAATCCATTCAGCCGATTTTCTGATTTTTAGAAGAATATCAGTAACCAGACAGTTTCTGGTCTCATTGACTTCAGTATATTTTTTTCCTTCTATGGAAGTCACTGAGACCAGAAACTGTCTGGTTACTGATATTCGTCAAAATATCAGAAAATCGGCTGAATGGATTCTAAAACAGTAAAAACCAACTGTTTAACTCTGAGGGAGTTGTAAAATGAGCCTATTTCCAAAAAAAGTGGAGTATCCCTTTAAGTACTTTAGGGGTCTGATTTAGTTGTTAAGAGTAGTGCAGACGTAAAACTGTGAATAACTACAAGTCTGCCTTTCCAACGATTGATATCAAGTTTTTTAAAAAAGCATTAGTTAATGTTAAAATTGAGAAAATCTGACCTTGTGAAAGTTCCACATGCGTTGTGATGTATATAATATTCTTTACACATTAAGAATTGTGTTTCAGCAATTACTTGTTTCAACCATTTGCAGGTTTCAACAACCTTGTTAATATATTGATCTGTTTTAATAAATAGACATGACATAAAAAAACAACTCCTATTTCCATTTTTTTTTTAACAAAGGAAATGATGACATTAAATTAAGATGTGATGCACTTCTAGCTCATTAATTAAATAAGCTGATACTCACATGGCTGCATATACTTCTGCATTACAAAGATTGGAAAACCCTGTACAATTACTAATTGTGGCGAAAACCTATTATAATTTGAAAAGTTTAAACATGCAGTCGGAAGATATAAACTGCATATTTAAAGATTAAATGTAATTTTAGGTGTGTTTTATATGAAGGGGAGGGAGAATAGAGAAGGGGAAGTGCTTTTCCATATTTTTCTGCTTTCACAAATCAATATGACATCATTCTAAAGGAATCTATACGGTTCCAGGGCAGTTTTTGTACGATCATGGTGGCCTCTCCACCAAACACAGTTTGGTGAGATTTATGGGTCCCTTTTAACCCCAGTAATCAGCAGAAACAACAGCACAACAGCGTCATGAATGAGAGGAAGGCAGAAGGTACAGCGTGCTGCGTACAGCCGCTCGCACCCTGATGTCGTCAAACGGGTGAAGAGTTCAGCAAGCACACATAAATATTTAAATGAATGTCGGATTGACAGGAGAACAAAGGGCCGTGGGGACCATTTCTGAACACCTCCTTCCTACGCAGCCGGTACAGTTGAACACAGAGAACGCCGCCAGAATGTTTGCGCATAATGAAACCAGAACAACTAAGAATTCCCCCTGCCAAGGCTAGTGTGAAGTCACTCTTTAAAGCGGGACACCGGGAGGAATTTTTTTTTTTTTTTTTTTGATAAGCCGAGATTCGAAACTACTAAAGCCTACTAAAATAAATGACACATTTATCTGGTTCCAGTGCGCTCTAATGTTGCCTGTTTGGACTGATCAGGTCATTCTATGAAACAGCTTGTTGGGGAGATTTGAAAACTAAAGTTTTTAATCATTTTATCAGTTAATTTGTTCGTTTTGTTTAAATGAATTTTTAGTACCGCCCTTCAGAAACTACATTAGATAATGGCATACTTCCAACAAGACAAATAATTATTTAGACTGATCACCCTGTTTAAAAGGCTCTTCACAAACGTACTTTCAGGAGGAGTGAACCCATCAGATCTAAACCTTGCTCTGGCATCAGCTGTTTTGGCATCCCTCCACCTCCTCAACTCCTCATCCAAACATTAAGAGTCCCACTGGAGGGTTTAGATGAAGCTGCTTCTCCGAGCCCCTCCTCTGCGGACAGCCTAACCTTATTAGCTTAAAGATTATTTGTGAAATGTAGTGTGTGGCTTCATCAGCAACAGTGAATGCTTGCAACTTTGGAATAATTGTGTATTACTGTCAAATATACAATGTTTTTAATTTGAATATATTTTTTATTGCAGTGATATATTTCAGGATCATTACTCCAGTCTTCAGTGTCGCATGATCCTTCAGAAATCACTCTAATATGTTGATTTCTGATTATTATCAGTATTTATTAACAGTACTTATTATTATATATTACTTATCAGTTAAAGTTGAAAACAGTTGACTGGCTTAATATTTTCATGAAAACTATGATTTATTTCTTTTAGGATTCTTTGATGAATAAACGTTCATTTGAAATATGAAATCTTACTGTCACATTTATGTTCAGCCTAGTTTCTTTATCATGGACTTTTAGTTTGTTTTCATGTTCATCCTGTGTTCCTTTGTTCAGTTTTCCGGCTCCTCATGATTAGATAATATGTGCCAGCTGTGTTCTATGAATCATCCTCATTTGTGTAATATATTAGCTATATAAGTTGGTCCCTCACATTCATTCTCCGCCAGATCACCGTTATGTGTACTGTACGTGTGTGTTGCTTAGCCTGTTTACCTGTCTTCTGGATTGTAATTAAAACTTTGTATTGGACATTATCTTCTTCTTTGTCTGCCTTCCTCCAACCGACCGTGACACTTACTGACCCCGAGCTTTTGAACAGTAGAGTACAATAAATGCCCTGGAAAATGATCTTTCTTGTTGGCCGATTTACATTTCTATTGTTTTATTCTACTTACTCTATTCTATTTCCCAATACAAAATTCTTTGAAAATGGTGTCTAAAATTTCCTCCGGCCCGACTCTACCAGTGATCCTGCCCAGACTGGAGAGGCCCAACCGAAGCCCTTCAGCCGCCAGCACCAGGTCCACGTCCCTGTACTGATGATACTGACGTAAAGCCTCGACACTGTTCTGCAGGAGAGTCCGGTGTCGGGTCTGAGTCAGAGTCGGGCTGCCGATCAGTGGGTCACCACACCTTCAACACACACAGACCTAAGACTTAATGAAGTGTCATAATTAGGATTGTTATTTAAAGTATCCATCCATCCATCCATCCATCCATCCATCTATCTATCTCTCTATCTATCTATCTATCCATCCATCTATCTGTCTGTCTGATTGTCTGTCCATCTCTCTCTCTCTGTCCGTCCGTCCGTCCGTCTGTCTGTCTGTCTGTCTATCTATCTATCTATCTATCTATCTACCTGTCTGTCTGTGTATTATCTATCTATGCGTCTATCTGTCTGTCTATCTATCATCTGTCTATCTATCAATTTATCTATCTGTCTATCCATCTCTCTGTCTGTGTCTGTCTATCTGTCTGTCTGTCTATCCATCCATCCATCTATCCTTCCATCTATCTGTCTGTCTGTCTATCCATCTCTCTATCTGTCTGTCTGTCTGTCTATCTATCATCTGTCTGTCTATCTGTCTATCTATCTGTCTATATATCTATCTATCTATGTGTCTGTCCATCTGTCTGTCTGTCTATCTATCTATCTATCCATCTCTCTATCTGTCTGTATATCTGTCTATCTATCTGTCTGTATATCTGTCTGTCTGTCTGTCTATCTGTCTTTCTGTCTGTCTGTTTATCCATCCATCCATCCATCCATCTGTCTGTCTATCTATCTATCATCTGTCTATCTGTCTATCTATATATCTATCTATCCGTCTATCTGTCTACCCATCTCTCTATGCGTCTGTCTGTCTATCTATCATCTGTCTATCTGTCTACCTATCAATTTATCTATCTATCTATCTATCTATCTATCTATCTATCTATCTATCTATCTATCTATCTATCTATCTATCTATCTATCTATCTATCTATCTCTGTCTGTCTGTCTGTCTGTCTGTTTATCCATCCATCCATCTGTCTATCTATCTATCTATCTATCATCTGTCTATCTATATATCTATCTATCCGTCTATCCATCTCTCTATGCGTCTGTCTGTCTATCTATCATCTGTCTATCTGTCTATTCATCTGTCTATCCATCTATCTGTCTGTCTGTCTGTCTGTCTGTCTGTCTGTGTATCCATATTATAGTAATACCAGAACTGCTTTCTGGGTTGACCAGTTCCACTCACAGAGTCTTTAGTCTGTTTTGTAATAAAGTCAGGAGATCCTCCAGGCCATCCCCGGTGTGGCATGACAAAAAACATGCAGCAGGAACATCAGCTGACCGCTCGAGGGAAGCCTGGATGCTGCGGTTGCGCTCCACGGAGCCGAGGTCACTTTTGTTGAGGATCAGGATGCACTGCTGCCTGTGAGATGAGTGCTCCAGGATGTTCTTCAAGTGTCCACTGAGGAAGACAGGCACTAGCTGGGGCTCAGAAGGAAGCTGTGTCAAGTCCACGACCACCAGAGACAGATCTGCCTGCTCCACCCTGTGGGCAGCAGAGGAAGGTCATTTCTTAAGCCTGTTTCCTGAGCCTGGTCAGCATCTTACAACCTTTGACCTCGTAGAAACAAAGTGGCCACTTCCTGTGTATTACATCTCTTTAGTAAATCACAGAATAATGCACGGTTCATTCACCTCAACAAACAAAGGTAAAATGTGATCAGGGAAAAGGCCTAATATGCAGGGATGGCAAACAGGATTTGGACACTTTTAGATGGGCATAACAATGTTTTCCGGACTATACGCATACAATTTGAATTTATGCAATAATGTTTTAATTTATTAACTTTATTTTTGCTCTATTTTTCATTTGAGAATTGGCTCTAATTTGTAATGTTTAAAAAAGAAACTAAAAATTAATTTGACAAATATAAAATGAATAAACTTGAGATAGCAGTATATATTTGATTACAGACAATAATTCATGATGATTAATATGTTGTTTTATGGGGTTTTTGGGATTTGTCTACAATTCTACACTAACGGTTAATTCTACACTACAGCATATTATAATGATTTCTGAAAGATCATGCAACACTGAAGATTAGAGTAATGATGCTTATTTTAAATATATTCTAACAGAAAATAGTTATTTTAAACTGTAATACTATTTCACAATATTACTGTTTTTTTACTGTGTTTTTGAACAAAAAAATGCAGCCTTTGTGAGCAAGAGAATTTTTTTCAAAAACATTTCAAAAAATCGTAATTATTAAAATTTTTTGATTGATTTAATGTATGCATTGCATGCAAATAAAAAATAAGTATACAAATAAGTTTAAAGGATTAGTTCACTTTTGAAAAAACTTTTGCTGATAATTTACTCACCCCCATGTCATCCAAGATGTCCATGTCTTTCTTTCCTCAGTCGAAAAGAAATTTAGGTTTTTGATGAAAACATTCCAGGATTTTTCTCCATATAATGCACTTCAATGGGAACCGGATGGTTCAAGGTCCAAAAGACAGTTAATAACAGTTTCAGATGCAGCTTCAAATGTCTTTAAACGATATCAGACGATGAATAAGGGTCTTATCATGCGAAACGATCGGCTATTTCAAAACTTATTGCAAAAATGTAACTTTTCTAAGGACAAATGCTAGCCTTGCTCTATTCTGTGAGGCGCGTTTGCAACGTCACGTAATACGTAATTACGTTCAAAAGGTCACGGGCGACGTAGCCGAAAGTACAGAGTCAGTGTTTACAAGTTGAACGCATAGGTTGAACGTGAAAACTAACTCAAACGCCGTTTACAAAAAAAGGAATTAAAAGGTAAAACAACGATGTCGGACGATTTTGATTCTGTACTTCCGGCTACGTCGCCCGTGACCTTTTGAGCGTAATTACGTGACGTTACAAACGCGCCTCAGAGAGTATATAGCAAGGCTAGCATTTGTCCTTAGAAAAGTTACATTTTTGGAATAAGTTTTGAAATAACCGATCGTTTCGCATGATAAGACCCTTATTCATCGTTTGGTGTCGTTTAAAGACATTTGAAGCTGCATCTGAAACTGTTATTAACTGTCTTTTGGACCTTGAACCATCCGGTTCCCATTGAAGTCCATTATATGGAGAAAAATCCTGGAATGTTTTCATCAAAAACCTTAATTTCTTTTCGACTGAGGAAAGAAAGACATGGACATCTTGGATGACATAGGGGTGAGAAAATTATCAGCAAAAGTTTTTTTCAAAAGTGAACTAATCTTTTAAGTTATTATTTAAATAAGTGTGAATGTCGGTTTAAAAAAAGTCTTGTCAAACGGATAATCTATCCTAAGAAACTTCTTTTGTAACATGTAGTGAAAAGTGTTTTTATGCAATCTTGCTTTAAAATAAATACCACTTGTTCTGATATTTTGTTAAAAATAACTAGATCTACAGTACAACTAAACTGACTCTTTATTTCCGCAAACATTATGCAACTAAACACGTAATGTTTGCATTACATAATCTCCAATGTTTATTCAATGGTGAAAAATTTGCCACACACCTTTTTCTAAATCTGTGAATAAACCGATCATTTCTCTTCGCGAGGCACAATGGGTGGCAAAAAATCTTAAGAGATATTTCCCCTCTACAGGCCATTTTTAGGATGGTGATATTCATCACGTTGGATTGTTTGCGCAAAAATGCCCCACTGTTTATTCTGCCTTGATTTTCCCACACGTGTCTGTAAATACATACCGCTGACGGGCGCGCCTGACGCCCTCCTGCTCCACGCTGTCTGTGGTGTCGCGTAACCCTGCCGTGTCACTCAGCAGCACAGGATAGCCCCCGATGTCCAGAGGGACCTCCACCACATCTCTGGTGGTCCCGGCGGTGGCAGACACTATGGCAGCAGGACGCTGAGCTGCACGGTGACAGAAGAAACTGAAATTAGTTCAGAAACAAAAAACAGCAATGCTCACGTTGCACCTACAAGGACAATTAACTAGATCAAGAGATGTCGGGGGGCCCGTGAGACGATTTGTTCTTGGACTTCTCAGAAGTCCTTCATGTCTCAGGATGGAGGGCAGAGGGTATTACCAAGGGAGCTCCACAAGACTTAAAACCAAGATTAACTATATTTAAATGTGGTGATAGCAAGTACACAAAACAACACAAAGTTCATATCCTGTGGAAACGTAACATCTAACAGACCAGTGTTACGGTGAAAGGCAAATAAGATGCATCAGCAGGAGCGTACAACTTTTTAGATGAGATAACACTAGGCGACATCTCCCAAAAATGGAGCTTTGAATAAAGATTTGTAAGGGTTGTAAAAAAACAAAATGTTCACCACTTTTGAAGCGAAACTTAAGGGAGAAAATATAAAGAAATGTAAATAAGACGTGTATAATGATCATAACAATTTCTAAAATGCTCCTTTGAACAATTTATAAAACGTTTTTATATTTGATTTTTCTAAATGTATTCCCCATAAATCGCAGTTCTTCTTAAAGTCATCATGAAATCAATATTATAAATATAATGATTTATTTATGTGCCTAATATAATTAAAATAACTTCTTCCTCTTGCAGTGACATCTCTTCCCTTCTCTGATGATGTTTACCGGAGTGAGGGCGGTACAACCTGTCAATCACATGACATAACAGCAATAGCAAACCACAACCATCCAATCAATTGCTTTTAAGTCCTGTCCAACAATTTTTCATGTTCGAGAAGCCGTTTCACTCGGATATACACACCTGGGCAAAGAAAATGGGCCAAGCCAAAAATGGTTAAACAAGTTAGATTTTAAATATCTTAACTTGTAAGTACAATTGTAAGGTCACCATCATTCACATGCTCTCCTATTGGTCAGTTTAATAGCTGAGTCAAAAGCTATGCTATTATGAACGTATGGCTCAATATCTCTTTTAGTTTAAATCTATGGATTTTTTTTAATCGTTTAATCATCCTACAAATGAATATTTAAATTTGATCATTCATAAGCTATCATAACAACAAACATTCTCAAAAAGCTGCAATTTTAGCCCAAAGATTAAACAAAACTTTTTCCGAGTCATTTGGTTCATTCAACGAACGAAATGAACAAATTGACTCTGAAAAAGATTCATTCATTTTGATGAACGAGTTTGAACAGGAGAGTCACGAACGTGCATCACAGAACAGAGCAAGGCGACCATTTGAGCTTGTAAAACTTAAACTTTGTCATTTTTTTTTTAAATAAGCGATCGTTTCACTTGATAAGACCCTTATTCATAGGCTGGAATCGTTTTCATCAAAAACCTTAATTTCTTTTCGACTGAAGAAAGAAAGACATGGACATCTTGGATGACATGGGGGCGAGTAAATTATCAGCAAAAGTTTTTTTAAAAGTGAACTACTCCTTTAAAAGTACCCCAATAATGCGAAGGTCATAAATAAATCATTTAAATGATCAGCTTAAGAATCAGTTAGCTGGCTATCAAACGGTAGTCCAGTGAATAACAAGTTGTTGTTTAAAACCTTAAAAGTGTTTCATTCATTAGCAAGGCACTGTAACATTGAATGTTTCCATTATCCAATGATATTTTGCCTTGTTCTGAATGACATGTTAATTATGATCTGTCTAGAATTGAATAGCCTTTAAATAAAGCACATTTAGCAAATCTTGTCCTTTTGTCTTTTGCTGCTCAGCGCTGAACCAAAATAACTGCAGATAAATCAACACAATAAACAAGTGCTGTGCTTGGCAGTTTCTGTGAGCGGATGAAAGTTTGAAGAAATATTTCACTGCTGTACTAAAACGGGTTCTATTTTTTGCCATTCTGGTCTAGTCTGGAATTAAAGTATATTTCCATATGTCTACTGGAAGGAAGAGGCCAGTTTCACTCAAGCACTCTTTGTGTGAACTTCCTTAGAGAGTTTATAAAACGTATCAATCTTAAAATCAGCATCACATTTTCATCTTAAAATCATCTATGGCGTTTACAGCAAATCTCAATTCTTCAAATACATAACGTGTCAAATTATCATACAATTTTAAGCTTTCAGTTTTTAATAGAATTCACAAATTGCTTAATTAAATTCACTCTCTACTACAGGAAGTGACAGCACAAGACGGTCAGCGTTCCAGCAGAACACACAATAACAGGCCTGATGAATGTGGGGTAATTCGGGGCAGGAAGTGTGGTGATATCCAAACATCCCCCCTGCTACTGGAGAGGTCAGAGGTCAGAGATAAACGTCATTAAAGGCGGTACGGTGTCACTTTATGAGTGTGAATGATAATACGTGCATTTATCACATTCATAACCTTCTGTCATAGAACAATAAGACACTTTTGCCCCTAAAATGTGTTTTAAAGTAAAAACATGAATTGAAAAAAAAGAACATTTTCATGCTTTTAAAAGAAGGCTTTTATGCTGCTCACCAAGGCTGTATTTGTTTAAATATATTTTAAAATGTAATGTATTCCTGTAAAGACAAACTAAAAATTGCAACTAATTACATAATGGTGCATAGTTTTTAAGAAACAAAAAGGCTTTAGGAAGGATAAAGCACATTTAATATACTTTGTAGTAACAAGTCTGTACATGAAATAAAAGCCTTCAGAATTATCTCATATGTTGTTTTGGTAGAAGCAAGCATAGTCAGGTTGCTAAAAAATCCCCATAACATTAAAAACCCTGAACACAACTATGCGAGGTAAAAGGAAATGCAACGTAGATTAAATGCGGTTTCACATATCATCATATCGTCCAGCCCTAAAACTTTATAGTTTTTTTTTTTTTTTTTTGGTCAGTGTTTATTAAAAAAACACCCAATAATGCAGAATATGCAAAGATAAATATTTAATTGATGAGTTGTTAATATATATAACAATACAAAATATATGGGTATGATTATTTTCACCTAAATTCAGCATGTTGACACAAAATGATAACTGCAAATCCACCTTTCGCTGACTTGAGTCCGGTTGTTTGTGTGAATTTCAGTGATCCATTTGCTCCTCTTTCTATAGCAGTCTGTAAAAATATACCTCCGATTTTTTGTTTTCTAGTTGTACAGTCAATCGCAAAGGTCTTTCCCACTTTATATGTGTTGTGTTTGTTTTTCGAGGCATTCACGCTGAAAACAAATACAGCCGCTCAGTCTTTTTGCCACTCACTGGGTCTCATTCATGAAACATTCGTAAATATACGAGTAAACATGCAGAGTGATTTGCACGTAAAGAGACCTTCCCGAAAACTCTTCTCCTGATTCACAAATACTTCGTAAACGTCAGATGTGATAGTGAAATGAGTGTGTGTGTTAGTGAATTCCAACCAGTCGTAAATGGGATGCGCGTGCACGTTCATTCTCAATTACCATAAATCCCGTCCATTATATCCAACTGACATCTATGTATAGGCATATAATAACATGAATGCGAATGAAAAAGAAAGATTTCTCGGATGCATAAATTGCAGTTTTATTATCAGAAGTTCATTCAAAATGCCAATTTTATTTTCAAGCGTACATAGTGGCCTATCAGGTCCTAAAAAAAGGAAGCTTGGCAGCATATTACAGATACAGTTAATGCTGGAGTTTCATCTGTTAATCGAACAGTCCCAGAAGTAAGAAGAAAATGGTTTGACATTAAGCTTGACATCAAAAAACTAATTAGTTCACTTCGGAAAAATCGTATTCAAACTGGAGAAGAACCGCCATCGATCACCAGATCTGCTATTATTGGCTCTCATAATAGAAGTAAAAAGAAAAACCGTATGTAATTTCCTTTTAGAAAACATTAAATCTATGATGGATACGGGTGGTATTGTGGGGGCAATTTTCTTGGACCTTAAAAAGGCCTTCGACACTGTTAATCATAGAATACTTGTTAACAAATTAGCTTCTTCTTTTAATTTCTCCAATGATGCCATCAAGTGGATTGATTCATATTTAAAGGGAAGATCAAATCATGTAAAGGTTCAAAATCATAAATCAACTGCTTATACAAATAATACTGGTGTCCCGCAAGGATCTGTACTTGGGCCATTGTTGTTCAGTCTTTATGTAAATGATTTGCCATTAGTTTGTCCCGATATAGAAATCTTATTATATGCTGATGATGCTGTTATTTATGTACATAGCAACACAAAACAGCAAGCTGCTTTAAAACTAACCAGTGCAATGAACTATATCACAACATGGCTTAACAGATCATGTCTGACGTTAAATGTTTGTAAAACGGTAAGCATGTTCTTTTCAAAACGACCATGTAGCGCTCCAGACCCTGACATAATGGTATTAGGTCAAAATTTGCAAGTTGTGACTGAATACAAGTACTGTATCTGGGTGTTTGGATTGATTCGAATCTGTGTTTTAGAGCTCATGTGAAAAGTATGTGCAAACGAATCAGATTTAATTTAAGTAATTTTAGATTTGTTAGGGAATCATTCAACTTTGAAACTGCTATGTTATATATGAATGCCATGATTATCCCGCATTTTACATACTGTTTGACAAGCTGGGCACAAGCTAACAAGTCTACAATTAAGTCACTAGAAAGTCTTTATAAACGTACTCTTAAAGTTTTAGTTCGGGAACCTAATAGTTTTCATACCTGTCACATTTTAAATACCCATAGACTTCTGAGTTGGGAAAATTTAATTACTTACAGTAACCTTTGTCTAGTCTATAAGATATTGCATAGCACGGCTCCACCTCCACTGAAGACATTTGTTATGCAGAGAGCAGGTAGTCATGTCACCAGAGGTATCACAAGAGGGGACTGCATCATTCCCACTCGAAAAAGTGCCTTTAGTCAGTCAGCGTTCTCTGTAACTGCAACTAAACAGTGGAACCAATTGCCAAGTCTGATAAGAGATACAAAAACTTATCGTTCCTTTACTGGTCAGCTTAAGAACTGGCTAATTGATAATCAGATATGTGCACATTAAACCACTGACTGCCTACTGAAAATTGTGGCTTGCTGGCAGATTGTCTTGTGTGATTCGTTACTTATTGTTGTGTGTCGTTTTTGTCTTTTTATTACTTTTAATGTTGTTATTATTTGTGGACTGTAAAAGTCATTTCTTGCTTTATATTTTGTTTTTAGGTTGCCATCATAATAACTGGCCAGGGACAACAGATGCAAATTAGCCTGTTGAGCTAACTCTGGCTCATTTACAGTTATTTTACTGTCAATTAATGAGCACTGTCCCTGTAAAATAAATAAATAAATGAAATGAAATGAAATGAAATGTAATTACTATATACATTTTTTTTTTTCAAAATGCTGTTTAAATATGTACCCGATTAAGGTGAATAAAAATGCAGCCTTAACGTTTAATAACGAGCAAAACTTAACGAGCAAAACGTTCGGATGTAGCGCACCATTTACGTGTGGCTGGGAGCAAGGGTAATGACCCTTGGAATTCATATAGCATATTATAATCACTTATTAGGCCTATATTAATTTATAGAATAGCAAAGTATGCCTAATCAATGACTGTGTACCACATATTCTATTTATATGAAGGTTATCATGATCATTTTGAACCATGGATTTATTTAGTTTATAATTTTTTTTTTAGTTGAATTAATCACCCGATCAGCATGGCTATCTGTTTTCTCCTAAATACAAGCTCAAGGGTTTATTTCTTGTAAGTGTAGAAATAGGACAAAAGTATTTTAATTTTCCTATATTATAGTGTAATGTTGATTAAAATATACTTTTGAAATATTCATTTTCATTTCTATAGTAGCCTATATAGGCTATATGGATTTTACGTCATAGGAATAATTATATAAATTATTATTACATTATTATAATAATTGTTTGGCATTCGAAAACACCATTGATAATGTAATGTAGACTGAGACTCTCACAACTAAAAAGATGTTTGAGCCCTCTTTATTGTCCTAGTACAAATCAATGCTTTATCTTTGTTTAACGAGCAGTTCATGGGTTGAAGCTCTCTTAATTTTGATCTGATGCATTTAACCTTAAAATGTAAAAAAAAATAAAAAATCTTGTGGGGGGAGCAGTCAGTAAAACATAAGATTATAAATCGATTGAACGCGGAACAGTTTTTCCTGAGTGAGACTGGAAAACCCGTAGTGGACGAAATCGGAGTGATAACAGAACGCTTAGAGTGCAGAGAGGAATGTGCTCTGACTCCAGTCCTGGTTTTGCGTCCGCGCCGTTAGAAGCTCAAGCTCGCAGGCAAGCTCGCAGGCAAGATCGCTCAAGATCGCTCAGTCCATGGGTAAAACTAGTCGATCACGAGTGGAGTGGGTCAACTGGTGAGGTCTTCATTCATAAACTGTCTGAGATATATTAGAAGATGTGTCTGTCATGGATTTGCACTGAACTGATTCTCAAAAATACGGAACAAAGTGCGTTCCGTATCAGTTCAATACGGAACAAGACTTTTATGTGACAAATAATACGGAACGATTCCGTATTATATGGAACAGTTGGCAACCCTAGTAACTGCAGGCACTCCGGCCGACGGTGACGTCACGCGCATACCCGCTATAGGAATCGTAGTTGATCCATACTGACAAGGGACCATGGTTTGAAACGCACGTGATTCTTAGATTAATTGCATTCAGTTTAAACATTCAAGCGATTTAAAGCCATTTGAGAGCAAGAAGAGGCAAAACAGAGCTCAATTTGGAACTCACACGCTGCTTTTCTGTGTACATGCAGAGCAGCACAGACAGCACACAAACACCGAATTCAGCTCTCTTCAGCCTCTATTTGTGCTCTTTGGCTCGAACAGACACACAGACAAATGATGTCAAAAGGCCCAGCTAGGCGAGTATCCTCAAAAACAGTCGCTTGTGATTTACGTGAACATAATTGCAAAAGAAAATGGATGAGTATCATTATATTGGATCAGTGCATTCGGGCTTAAAGTAACAGCAGCCTAATGTTCCTGCAGCCGTCTATATCATTAATGTAAACCAAACAACAAAATACAAAGAGAAAATCACTTTTGTAGCTTTAACAAAGACTAATTATATGTTAAGGTGTTCTTTCATATTTTGGATGTTTTTAGTATTAATGTAAAATGTTGGGGGGAAAAAAACTCTCTCTCTCTCTCTCTCTCTATATATATATATATATATATAGACCATTTCACAAGATGTAAACAACACTGGTCCAGAAGCACTTCCTGTTTCAATTTGTAACTGTTTTCTTTATTTCACATGTAAAGAAAACATCTTAAAGATGTTTGTTTAACTTTTTGATTCAGTTTTAAATGTTCTGTTGGTTGTATTTTATCCCAGCTTTTATTTAGTGTTAAAAAACTGAAACAGGAAGTGCTTCTGGACCAGTGTTGTTTACATCTTGTGAAATGGTCTATATATATTATTAGTATTTATTATTAATATATTATTTATATTTAAATGTATAGATTTTTATTTTTTACTAATGTATGATAATGTGCTGCTGTTGGGTCATCACACACACATGTAAAATCTGGGGCCTGAAGCAAACTCTGTTGAGAATCACAGATCTGCCTGAAGCAAGAATTTAATCTAACACTTATATTTGACGTGTCGGATGTCTGATCTTACTGAGCATGTTGAGCAGGCTGCTCTTGCCCGCGTTGGTGCTTCCAGCGATGACCACCTGAACACCGCTGCGCAGGCGCTCTCCCCTCCGCTGATCTGAGAGATGATTTTCCATATCTGTCTGCAGCTGCCGAACAGCTGTGTCCACTGCAGGACACAAAACACTCAGTTCAATGAACGAATTTATCAAATTGATGCTGTAATATTACTTTTTTTAAACTGAAATGCAATGTTTAAATTCACAGAGACGTGTGTCAGTGGGGGGGAAAGAATATTTTTCATGACCTCTATCAGTGGCTTTACAGCCCGTCTGTAACTCTCAGAGGAAGGAGACGGTTTGTGACATGTTTGTTCCTTGACGCACAAAGAATCCCTCAATTCTCCAGAGAAATATAGATATAACACTTAAACATCTGAGCAACGTTAGACAAATGATGGCAGGTACAATAACTACATGCAGTATTCTTTAGGCACAACGACTATGTCTCTCTACTGTATATGCAATGCCACATTCAATGGTTTTGAACCTTTCTCAACAGCTGCTGCGGTTTCTCTGAGGTCAATACTAACAGGAAAGTGTCACAAAACATTCTGGAAATGAATCAGTGTTTTTACCAATCCATTTGAGGAGACGTACCGTCATTTAAGATTCCGTCCTCTATGAGTTCATCCTCACTGAAGTCGATGAATGCCTCCACGTGCGCCAAGCACTAGATTGAAAACACAATCACATACAACAACTCAGTCATAATTCCACTGAATGTAGTTTAGAGGATCACTAATGCTAAGACAACAGTTCAATAAACTAGCTAGATATTTAGCAAAGGTGATGTTGAGTAACTTGCAGTACCATTCAAACGTTTGGGGTCAGTAAGATTTTTTCTTTTTTAAGTTTGTTTTAATTTTGTGATTTTGGAAAGAAACAAATTCTTGTATTCAGCAATGATGCATCACTTCGATCAAAAGAGACATTTAATATTGTAACAAAAGATTTTTATTTCAAACATGCTGTTGTTTTGAAATGTCTATTCATAAAATAAACAATCCAAGAAAACGTATCAAGGTTTACACACAAATATTAAGCAGCACGTACTGTTTTCAACATGGATAAGACAATGTCTCTTAAGCATCAAATCAGAATATTAGAATGATTCTGGTGGATCATGTGACACTGAAGACTGGAGTAATGATGCTGAAAAACCAGCTTTTAAATTCATTTTAAAATGTATGAAATAAAAAAAAACTTTCTTTTAAATCATAATAATATTTCACAATATTACTATTTTTACTTTTTACTATTTTTGATCAAATAAATGCATTCTTGGACAACATAAGACTGAACAAAAAGATGTATTTACATTTTTCTAAATAATAAAAATGTTAAACTTACTGACCTCAATGTGTTGAACAATATAGTGTATTCCCAGTTTCTTTGATTTTTTGTTTTGATCATTGAACAAACTGGTTGAGTGAAAGATCTCAAAAAATATAATTTGAGGATGTAACTAATTGTTTCATTATAGACATTATCAGCATAATTTAAGTGAAAAAGTCTGAGAAACTACCATGTTTATCAGAACATCTTACTATTTAATAAGTCACTGTTTTGTTTTAATAAAGCAGCTGCATGAGCTCCACCAGTTCAAAACATGATGATCATGTTATCCAGCACAATCTGAGAATGACCCAAAGAGCATATTGTATTTCAATAGAAGCAATAACATCTGACACAAATTTGCTTGTATGATTACTCATGTAGAAGAATTTCCTATTCATCTTACAACACAACTTTTCTTTGCTTTACATTTTTGAAAAATCCCAAAACTATGTTTATTTCCAGAATTAAATGGTTGTGAATTAAGTGCTTGTGACCACAAAGCTCCTTCCAGGAGTCTTTACACAAACCATTAGCCAACATCACGCTGGGTCCTGAGTGCTCTGACGGCTGCACACACACACCCTGCTCAGGATGTCCTGTCTGCAATCAGCATACTCTTACACACAAACAATAGATGGACACCATCCGTGACAGAGTGACAACACTGACCAATCTAGCAGTAAATTCTGAACTTATTTAAAAGACCTTAAATAAAAAAGAATAACCTCTCATATCAACACACTCGCAAGTGTTCTATTGCCTTATAAATCAAATACAACAGCCAACTCTGCCTCTGTTCCTCACACTGAAGAGAAACGAGGACTTTTCTTGTTTCCAAATAGCATATTTTTTAACTTGTTAAGTTGGAAGTTCTCCAATCTATCAATCAAACTGCATTTATTTCATGCATTACAAATATGAGGTGAAGAATGAGAAAACTGAGTGCTTTGTTCCTCACAGATTCCATACTGTAGTTGCAACATGGTCGTGAAAGTTTTCTCATTGGTTGTTGGGGTGTTTTGGACATAGGCAGTGAAAGAAATGGACAGAGCGACCCTATAGATTTCAACAGAGAAAAGTGAAGTCAATCAGAAGCACTCACTTTTTGATTGCCAAGCGCACTGCGCAGGCTCAAACTGGGCTTGACGACATAGTGACGTCGTCTAGTAGCAAAACTCAGCCACTGTGTCTTCAGCGGTTCAGATTTAAAGGGATAGTTCACTTTGAAATAATTGTTTGATATGTTTTAGCTTACCTCAAGGGCATCCAAGATGTAGGTGTCTTTGTTTCCACAGTAGTTTCAATTTTGATATTTTTAGGTCAAACCGTTCTTGTCTGTCAGTCATATAATGGAGGTCTATGGTCACCACCTCAAAGAGCATGCACAGAGAAGTCCAAATTAAACATGATTTAATGACTCGTAAATGTAAGTACACATTGATGGCCTAAGACACGAAACGAGCGGTTTATGTGAGAAAACGAACAGTATTTATATCGTTTTTACCTCTTGTAACCACAGCCACATCCAACTGATCTGAAGGCATGGGCATTTCGGTCTGCGCATGCGCTGGAAGTGATCTCTCTCGCGTGTACGTCACATCATCATTGTTTACACAGAGATTTCGGAAGTTTTATCTTTCACTGTGAAGCTCTAAAAATCGAAATCATCTTCCATTGCGATGTCCTGTATATCTAAATATGTTTAGATCTTCACAGTGAAAGGTAAAACTTCCGAAATCTCTGTGTAAACAATGAGTGACGTACACGCGTGACAGACAACAACGGTTTGACCTAAAAATATCAAAATTGAAACTACTGCGGAAACAAAGACACCTACATCTTGGATGCCCTCGAGGTAACCTAAAACATATCTAAAAATAATTACAAATTGAACTATCCCTTTAAAGGGTTAGTTCACCCAAAAATGAAAATTAAGTCATTAATTACTCACCCCCATGCTGTACCAACCCCGTAAGACCTTCGTTCATCTTCGGAACACAAATGAAGATATTTTTGATTAAATTTGAGAGCTGTATAACTACCACATTGGCTCCTAAAGGACTGCCTCTTGACGGCCCAGAAAGTCAATGAAGAAAATGTTTAAATATCCCAAGTGACTACCGTGGCTCAACTATATGTTTATCAAGCGACGCGAATACTTTTTGTGCGAAAAAACAAACAAAAATAACGAGTTTATTCGACTATTTCTTTTCTTCCTTGTAGGCCAGAAGGAGACTTCCTTAGATTTCCACGACGCATGCGCGAGATTTGCGATCTGCTCACATCAGCTTACACCACTTCAGATCGCAATTCTCGCGCATGCGTCGTGGAAATCTAAGGAAGTCTCCTTCTGGCCTACAAGGAAGAAAAGAAATAGTCGAATAAACTCGTTATTTTTTTGTTTTTTCATTTTTGGGTGAACTAACCCTTTAAGAACATCAAAATGACAATGTTCATTTTTACACCGAAGAACAGAACACAATCGCTTAGACGCCATTCTGCTCCTTTGTATCAACAAAGACGGGCTATAATGACAGCTCGCTCAAGGAGGGATGTGTTGAAACGCTGCTGTCAATCAACAATCGTGGGGGGGGGGGCGTCCGTTTTATTGATGTCACAAAAACGAATGGCAGGGGAAAACATATAAGGAGATTTAAACAAAAACACTAGATAGATGTTTATCATTATATGATAGTTTTGTACAGACACTGCCAACACACATTTCAGTACAATCAACTTGAAAAAGAGCATGTACCATTATATGACCCCTTTAAGGCTGTAATGTGTATAAGGGTGAATTAAGACTGTTTAAGACTCACAGAAACCCTAGTGCACTAACTACAGGATGTCAAGGACAGTTCCCCTGGAGCAATTTTAAGTGTTCTGCTCACAAAACCCAGAAGTTTTTGTTTGTAGCACTGTTTCCTAACCATTAGGAAACCATCACACACGTACACCACTAAACAGTTCCCACATTATGCATGTATATAGCATCTGCCTGGAATTTCCTGTCCTCTTACTGATCAACATGTTAAAGCAATTTAGGATGTCCCTGCAATATTTCGGCACAAAGGTGCCATTTTGGCCCGTGGAGAACTATGTTAATTTGGGGGTCAAACATCAAATATGGCGACATAAAGAAGTTCTCAAAATAGACGTTTTTTTTTCTTACTCGTTTAAGCCGAACTCTCCAGTCTTGGTAAATGCGGCCCAGGTCTCCCGCCATTTGTCGGAGAGCCTGTCGCCTCTGTGCTTCTGTTTCTGCATGGATCAGGTCACCTAGACCCTCTACTTCAGTAAGGTCCAACTTTCCAGCACAGAACGCCCGTCGGGTAAACTCACCCGCCTCTGCAGGCCGCAGCCCTGGCAAACTCCCTGAAACACACACAAAAAAAGGCATCTTTAAAATAAAATGAACTTTAGAATGCAGCCTCTTCCACAGCACTACTTAATTTAAGTTACAATTAAGATAAAGGCATGATATTTTACAATGAAATGACAATTTTATGAGTAAATTCATCAGCTGGATTTGAAGCTAGATTGAAAACAGATGCTGCCATCTAGTGTTAAAATGGTGACTCAACAACTATCTGTCAACTGTTTGCACGATACATACCTTTATGATCATTAAAACAAACATTTATGAAGGGTTATCCAGAACAATTGTGCGACAATAATGGTTGATTTTTTTTTTTTTAAACATACCAAGCGCCTGTAAGACTCCACTAATGACAGCAGCCCCCCCGTGAATGTGAAACTCTGCACTGTCCTCTCCCGTGAAACTACCAGGACCTGAAAGAGCAAAAAGAGTGAAATATGTCTTTGTAGGAATAATACCCAATTTTTATATTGTCGTAACAGTGTTTTTTTTTAATCTATTCTACCATTCAGTGGTTTTATGGTTGTTGTTTTTTTAAATAAATGTATACCTTTATTTAGCAAGGATGCATTAATTTCATCAAAAGTGACAGGAAGGACATTTATAATGCATGTTATAAAAAAATGTCTGTTTTGATTTATTAACTGCTGTGCTTTTGAACCTATTCATCAAAGAATTGATTACTTTTTCCACATAAATGTTAAAAGCAGCACGGCAGTTTTCAGGATTGATGATCATAATCAGAAATAATTTTTGAGCAGTAAATCATCATATTAGAATAATTACACTGAAGATTGGAGTAATGATGCTGAAAATTTAGCTGATCACAGGAATACATTACATCTTAAGTATATCTGTAAATTATATCTATATTCTGTATATATTCTTCAGTTAGGGGACTCTTCACTGAGTGCAGTCTTTGAACTTGTTTAATCTATGTTTCAACAACATTAACGCATTTATCACACACCCAGTAATAAATCTTGATCAACCTACAAATGAATTTTGGCATGAAGTATGGGGGTATGGATTTTAAATGAGGTGTCAGTTTTTATAGAAAAAGTTGAACAAACATTTGACCAGTCCAGGTTATACTTTTTTAAAATTTTCTATTGTATTTTTTTATTATTATTTATTGATTGTTATATTTATGTCCAATGTGAATGGATTTTACTTTGAATTAAATTAACACATAAAGCTCTTTAGAGATCATAATGCATAAATATTAATACACAGCCACTTTGATTTTATGCTTTCATAAAGTTCATAAAGAGATCGTAAAACTATAACGAATATGAATTGAGTGGTTTAGTCAAAATTTTCTGAAGAAATATACGATCACTTTATATAATGAACAGATTGAATTGAATATAAATATTCACATATAAATATTGGTCAGCGAAGAGCGAACATAAACAGAAGCTAGCCGAACCTGCTTGACACACTGACGTGTGCGTTAGTAAATGTCTATATGGGAATAAAAGGCTAAATTAAATGTGTAAATCATTTAAACCGATCTTGTCTCTTCAGAAAATTTGGACTGAACAGATGAATTCATATGGATTAGTTTTACGCTCTCTTTATGAACTTTTTCAAGCATCAAATCGGTAGTTGCGTAGCTGTCAATGGCGGAACAGAAGCTCTCAGATTTCATCCAAAAGATCTTCATTTGTGATCTGAAGATGAGACGAAGTCTTATGGGTTTGGAACGACATAAAGGTGAGTAATGAAAGAATTTTTAATTTTGGAATAGAAGTTAAGACTATAATGACTTTGTTGTTGAAGATGAAGAATCACCCATATTAGACTGAATGAACAGTCTAACAAGATCATGTGGGGGAAAACAGGCTATTCTGTGTTTAAAACTAGCCATCAGACCTGGAAACCACAGGACCAGACCGCGGTCCAGCAGCTCTCTGGTCTGCGGGTGAGTGATGCTGCGGAGGCTGGCGACCCGAGCAGCGGGGAAACCTCGGGTCAGACTGCGGACAGCGTGTGCTGATGCCGGACCACTGACCCGAACCACCGCCACCCCACACCTGCCCTGACCCGACGACACGGCGAAGATAGTGTCATCCTCCGGCCCGGAAGAACACAAGAGCCTCTTCACTGAAAGAGATCTACCAAACACAAACCAGTCATGTTTACTGTGCGTATTCTTGAAGTTATATAAACCCTAAATGGGTTATGAGCAGATGCAAGAGACCTTATAGCAGTTATGACAGCGGCACTTCTTCTCCAACCGCTAATAAAGTGCATGTTAATGACCTGATATACGTTTAGTGTATCAATAACCCGCCTGAAACATTGTTTACTTTAGTTACCCAATCGCTCCACGTGAGCATCATTTTCCTAGCGGTCAGTTATTCATCCCCTTCAGGCAAATTTCATTGGTCCGTGTCGTTATACGTGCAAGCAAAGATGCTTGTCATTCGCCAGCTTCACTGTCAATCAAATAAAAGTCCCTCCCCTTGTGCACCCTACAACTCTGTCCGTGTGACACTACTGACAGCTACTCATACATCTATTGAATTGTTAAATTCACGTATCAGATATAGTTCCAGTTAGTCTCAGCAATGTCTTTGAGTGTGGCATAGCCTATCTAATCTGAAATTATATTTATCAACATGTTTGTTGACTTGATTAGCCTTAATAGTTCACTCAGGAACCTTAGCCTGTTTTATTGAACAGAAAACGAGTGTAGTAGACTGCCATACTGTTACCAGGGACTTGGTAAATGTGTGATTTATTTAATGCAACATTTTGTAATTCCAATTATTATATTTATAGTTTTAATAGGCTACAACATTCAAGACTTCTATTAGAACAGAGACAGCATTCAATATTTGTAGATTTGTCAAATAGCAGACCTATTTAAATGAAGTGCAAATCTGGATATTTAAAAATATTGTATAATGTACCCATAGTTCAAAAAACTAAAAATGCAGCTTCCACAGTGTTTACCTTCTAGCTTTATTTTATATTACCTCATTTTCTTTCTCTCTTTTTTTTCTTATTTTTTAGTGGTGGTGATCTTTTAAAGAGTGCATGTTTAATTAATGAGCTTGATGAGTAAGCAAAAAAAAAATGGTTATTGCTTGGTTTAATGTCAGGTAAGGATTGCTTTCGAAAGCAATGAGGTCTAGAAACCTCTATTTCATCTGATGATCAAATCTTTAACACCTTCTTTTTTACATTCTACACTTGATTATCAGTGTATGACATTAATACATTTTTCAGTATAATTAGTGCAACCCGAATCAACTGTGTTAATGAGATCATTTGAAAATGTGGTGTGAAGTTTACAGATAACATGCTTGGTTCATGTGTGTTTTATTATCATTTACTTTTTTGAATATCTTACATTATAGAAAAGTTTAAATGCAGAACTAAAACTGGTCAATGTTAATATAATATATATCTCAATTATATCTTTGGACAGCTCTCTATCTTGAGTCTGCAGAAATGGATGCCTTATGCTCTTTTGTTCAGAGAGAGGTAAAATAGATCACTTTGATACTGAAATATTCAGCTGGGAAGATATTTTTTGCATTAATTAATAAATAATACCCTGCTTCATCCTTTCCCACAGAAATAGAGAGGGGAAAATGTGGCCGCACTATTTTAATCATTGTTATGAACATGAACATCAAGTTATTATAAGCAAGGATGCAATTAGAGCAGTTTTACTGTAAATTGTTATACTTTAGCAGGTTGACATGCTCTGTGGTGTGACATGCTAAAATATTTTTAAAAGCATTTGCTATTATTTTATAAAACAATTTAATGAGATAATATTAATTGAGAGACTATGTAATATTAAATTGGACTGTTTAAAAGCAAATTACATGTTCCCATAAACATTCATATAAACTAAAAAAAAACAAACAAACTTGGTGTTCGTTTTCACAATTTACTGGATTTAAGTGAAAAAATGTATAAGATTTTTTCTCACTTACTTAATAAGTAAAAATGTTTTCAGTTTGAAAAAAAAAATATGTATAAACAATTTTCAATCAGAAATTGCTAGTAAATTTCACAATTACAAAGAAAAGACAAGAAACCGTTGAATTAAATGAAGTTAGAAAGACTGAAATAGTATTTTCTTGTAAAATTAGCAGCCTGCTTCAGTATAAGCTATTTTTTGTTTTATTTACAATTTAAAAAAAACATTTTACAGTTACAGTTTGGCAAATGAAGGTAAATATTGTGAGAATATATTTCATATCTTACAAGTCAGACAATTTCTTTAAAAACCTTCAGCCCAAAAAAAATGATAGAGTTTTGACATTTTAAATGCTGATGTTTGATAGGAAATCAATACATCAATCCACTCATGCTGAGGTCAGCCAGCTAATGCATGTCTCATGAGAAGGTGGCTGTGTGACTGACTGAGAGTATTTGAAAGCTTAGACAGACGGAGAGAGGAGGTGTATATCTTCCCTTCTTCTTTGTCCCTCCTCTCCTCCACCATAGTAGCCTACTCCTTCTCACGCCGCAGTCAGTCTCTCCTCGCATCCCGCTGCAAACAGGATGACTCACAACAACCTTCACATCACCCTCACCTTCATTTAACCCAGCCAGTGTGTATATACACACACACTGCGCCCCATTTCTACATCATTTCCCCGTTGAAACAGCAGCAGCATGATGCCCGACGCGACGGCGACCGCTGCTGCATCTTCGGCGAGCAACATCAACATCAGCAGCAGCAGCGACAGCGAGAGCTCGCGGCACAGACACCGGGCGCAGGGGGACGCGGAGCGGCCAGAGCAGCAGCAGCACAGCGCTGCCTCTCAGCACACATCAGCGGGCGTTTTGGGTGAGTTTGGAGGTTCTGGAGAGGGCGAATATGGACGGGACAGGTGGATGTGAGGCTGGCATAAGGGACAGACGGCATATCCTTCGGGGAGAATGAACAATGCGGCGCTTTGTTATGCTGTCTGCCCCTTATGTTATGCTTCCCCGATACATACAACTGCCCCTGTTGATGTACATGGCCTATAGAAGGTCATGCGGCAGCATCACTTCAAATGCGAGACTCGAGCTTTAGTCTAGTAATGTGGGCCATGCGCTACTTTTTTGCGCTCGATTAGTCAATTTTTACGGGCCTTTGGGCAGGTTCAGGTTGTCCGAGTGGCTTTTATGGCTGAAACAATATCTGTTTTGCAATATTGTTGCTGCTTTTGTGTTTGTTTGGACGGCCTTCTTATTGTGGTTTGTTGTGAACGCATTTCCAAGAGTGCTGATATTTTGTCCAACAGCATTGGGACTTTTCACTGTTTTTATATAGTTGGTGTGGATATTTAGAATGATTTTTTAGAACTATATCTTTATCTTTATTGTTACATAGAGTCCTCAGTGTGAACATGCCCTAAGTCCAGCATAAATTCATAAATACATAAGTAGCCTACTAACGTTAGTGCAATATACTGTATATTTGACACTGCATTAGCCTGTTATTAGTCCAATCAAGCTCCTCTCCAGTTAAAATAGGCCTTTGACTTCAAGTTATGATGCAAAGGTCGCCTTTGGTATGGAAGTACCTTAGGGTCATACAAATACATTTATCCTAAGAAGACACAAGTGAGATCACACTTTGTATCAGAAATAAACATGTTTTTTTCAAAAATGGCCGCCAATGCCCCGAAAATACTCTAGAGCCCATATCTTTCCTTCTGTAGCAGTATTACCATTAAGTGACATGACATCTGACGCACAGAACCCAATGGCACTTCACTATGCGTATTGCACATCCGGTGGCACATCCGGTCTTCACTGGCGAGAATGTATATATAAATTAATGTATATATTTTAAAATATTCCTACATAGGCTATATAAAATAAAATGTCACAACCCAGTCTCTTTTTGTGAGACCAAAGATCACCTGTTATATACAGAAGACAAATTATATCTCATGTTTATCCACTAGAGACATCAGAACCAATGGCAAACGTCAGCACTAGAACTCTTAGAAGAAAAGGTTCTATAGAACCTTAAAAGGTTCTAAGCGCTACGTATTTGGAACCCCTACAATGCAATGCATGGTAATGATCACAAAATTCAAGATATTGGGGTTAAAAAATGTAATTAATCAATATCACACGAAGAGTGCCATTTCAGTTTTTATCCTCCAAAAATCAGCATGATTAAAATGCCATATTAAGTTACTACAACAGTTTGATAAACAATAATTTAATTACAACTACAAAATGTTGCAGAATAATGTAATATATGAATGAATAATAGCTTATAAATAACCTTTGTGTCAAAGGGGTTCTTTCTTGTTATTATCATCATTTTTTTGCATAAAAGGTCCTTTGCAGTTGAGTAAAGAACCCTATGCTACATATATAGAACCCTTTCGGGGTACATGAGCGCTGAGTGCCCGGTGAACGCCTGGATATCACTCCGAAAAAGTCAGATAAAATTTTTAAATGGGTGCTATCTTTATAAATAAACCACAGATTTGAGCTGTAAACAACTACATTGTCGACTGAAAATTAAAACTACATTTTGTGACACAATAACAGTAGTATTTAAAAAATTTTGTGGTTTTTCTCCTCTGGACGTTACTATTACTAATTATATCAAAAAGCAAATACAACCAGAAACAAATGTTCAGTCTTGCTTGTGAAAGATAATTCCTCGAGACCTGTTTTCAATTGTGTGGCGAATTGTACAGCCCCAAGCAGCACACGAAACAGGCATTTATCTAATTACTAGCTATGAGAAGATTGAGAAAGTTGCCCTCCGCAATATGGCGGCGTCGTTGGCGTAAGCTCCGGCGTCTATGTATTTATTATAGTAACACTGGCCAGCGCAAGATTCTGTGGCTTTAATATTTCAAGTCCTTCCAAAACGTGTAAAGAAATCAATGATTAAAAATAATATGTTAGGCTATGTTTTTGAAAAGGATTACATACAGAGCTACTAGAAATCTTATTTATTTAGGCTATACAAGTGCAAAAAAGTGCTCAGTGGATTTTAAATATTCAACAAACGTTTCGGTCACGCAGAACCTTCCTCGGTACCTTTAATATTTCCAAAATAACTTAATGGAATTATTTAATAAATAAAATCCATTTTTGTTACATTATAGTGTCACTAATGGAGGTGCCACAACATAAATAGCCAACTGGCATGTGCCACTGGATATTGGCATGTGTCACTAAAACGTGTGATGTGCCAATGCATTCCGTCACGTGTCACTTGTATAATTTGCTTTATGCTGTCAAACATATGATTTATTACATCGCTGAGTTAATGTGTACAACGTTAGCTATTATACATAATTCGATAAAATTATTTTTGAAATAATAAAGCCACAGATGAGAATCTTGCGCTGGGCAGTGTTACACTCACTC